TCCCCCAATCTTGAGGTTATAATCCTCCATTCATTTCTTCCTCAAATTGATATATTTTGAGAGAAAACTAAGTGTTTTCAAGAGAGTGTTCTTGTCATCCATAGAGCTTAATCTTTTCTCATTTCTACTCTTGTGAGAGTTATTGCTGAGAGGTTGAAGAAGATTGTTCTTCTTGTTGTTCAAGGCTTATGTGATTTAAGTCTTGGTTGTGAAGTCTTGTAGAGGGCATATCTACGAGCGGTTGTGTCGAGGCTTGTGAGATTCAAGTTCTCGAGTTGTAAACGGTTTGTTAAGCACCCGTAAGCTTAACGGAAGTAGTGGTAGCTTCGAGAGAGTCTCTCGGGGAACTGGACTAGCCACGAGGTGGTGAACCAGTATACATCGGTGTGTTCTCTGCCTTCTCTATTTTATTTCCGCTGCACTTTCGTTTATCTTATTTAATCCTGCGAAAATCGGTAAACATTCTCAACAACTCTATTCACCCCCCCTCTAGAGTTGCACGCCTTGTCTAACAGTACGACGTAAGGCGTAAACCCGTGTTCCAACAATTTCCAACAAGCTCTAAAAGTACTGGTCCTTAGGATTTTTAAAATGTACAGTACTTTGGAAAAATAGTAACACTTTTCTTTTAAAAATAAAATTCATATTTGTTTTGGTACTACCTCGTTCTAAGTAGAAATTAGAACTATAGGGAATGAAAAATGATAGTTTTATTTTGGGCCTTGAGAACCCAATAGGAATAATTTCCCTTAAGTACATAGCTTTCTTTTCTTTTGGGCCACTCTTTTGGGCTTAGCCAAACTAAAACAGTTATGGTTCTCAAACCAAACGAAACTGATTTTCAAATTGGAACAGTTTCAATTCATTGGTAATTGGTAAAAGATTCCTTCCACTTTTCAACTTTTTGGAAGTTGAAACTCTTTTACTCTCACCGTTCCATCTACCCAATTAATGGAACCCGTGAACCTCCCCTCTCTCTACCTCCTCTCTTATTTAAATCAAGATATCTCAATCCATTCCTATCACAAACAGCTCTTTCAATATGAAAAGTCTTCAAACTCACTATCTAAGAAACACACCAAGAAAAATATCCTCAATGGAGAAATTTTTCTTTCTCACCCTCATAGACGGCAATGGAAGAAGCCTATTGAGTAGAAAAGACTTTCAAGGTCTATGGTGAGAATCTCGGCATTAGAGAAGGTCTATGGTGAAAATCTCGTATTTTTCAGGATTACACCATACACATTCTCTGGAACAACACTCTCTCTATCCTTCTTCTTATTTTGAGAGATGTGTTGCTTCCAAGATCTTAAATATCCACTTTCGATATTAAAGATCTATCAAACGCAACGCCAACCGCTCTGCCAAGCAGAATCTGCTGAAGCTGAAAACGGTCAATGGCGAAAGAGATCACAAAATCTCAAGACAAGACTTGGTTTAGGAATTATTGTAATTTGAATTGTATTTGTTTAAGAGTTTTTGTTAACAAGTTGTATATTATGATAAACTAAAAGAAAGTTACAAAATTAGTTCTCAGTACAACGACCGGAACTCTTAAACACTTGTTTGTCATCATCAAAAAGGGGGAAATTGTTGGGAAAAATATCATAGATTTTGATGATGATGTATTTAGAATGTAATAGGGACTTTAGGTCTCCCCAGATATTCAATGTAATTTTTCCTTTTAGAAATATTGTTAAAACCAAGTTCTTGAGATTTCCAATAAAGTTGTGATATTTCTTTAAGCGGTTCGATGCCTGAAGACTTAATCAAATTCAGTAATTTGGAAATTGGATATCTTGATCGGAAATGTCAGAGACAAGTAAGGATCTCTCAAAACGGACGAAAATCCTCCTATCTGGAAGACTACATGAGAACCGGATGTCTCATTACAACCCGCTGAAGGCTAAGTCGGAAGACTAGCGCGGATTTCTTTCTCACCTGGAAGACTAAGTATGACTCTTCCGGATTTGTCAGCTAAGAACCGGATGCCTCAAGGAAGACCGTAATTCTCAAAAAGCGGACAAGTGAGAAAAGACTTAGAAAATTATCTAAGTCTTGAATGAAGAAGTTATACCGTTGGTAAGGAAAAATCAATCTCTTGATTTTCAACGGCTAGATTGAAGATAATTATGCTGATTTAAGAACAAATGACTCGAAGACAAAGTCTGGACCTCTAAAAATTGGAGAACCTGTCTAGAATTCCTAAACAAGCACTAGAAGACAAACAGAGTAAAGTGCTATAGTCCAGAATTCTTGAACAACAGCTAGAAGACGGATTCTATGGAAAAAGGAATCCCTCCTTAAACAATTGGGTATGTCCAAACACCCATTCCAATGAGGAATCTTCAAATCACAATCTTCATTCAAGATTGAAGCCTGCAAATGCAACGGATAATCTATTTTGATTCAACAGATAGATTATCCAATCCAGCTATAAATAGCATCCTTGGAAGACTGGGAAAAAAAAGAAAGAAAACAACTCATCAACGATAAGAAGAACAACCCCAAAGAGGCTACCTCATTCACAGTTAGCCCAAAAAACTTGATAAAGAGAGATTTCTAAACTCCTTATCTAGAAGTAAACTTCTCCTCCTTCCAAAGAGCTTTAGTGTAAATGCTTGAAGGTTTCCTTGCCTTATATACCACACCACGTTGAAGGATACAACTTTTGATCAAACTTATTGATTGAAAGGGGGTAGGTCAACTTTCTTACAAGTTGGTCTTGCAAGTCCTATTGTACGGACCTTGCAGTTGTTGAAGAAGCGTGATCTTCGAAGGAACAACAAAGCTAGTATGAGTGCAGTAGCAACATTGGCCTTGCGAAGATATACCGTGCAGAAATTCACACAAGTGTAATTGTTGAACAACCAACTACATAGTAGATTTTGAGGACGTAGAAGGATTACCCCACCTTCGAACCTCGTTAAAGTTTGCGTGTCTCTCTCTTTTATCTTTATTCTTACTTGCAATTATATTAACTGTGAAAACTAACCCATCCATATTGATTACTGCTCACTCTACCCACCAACTTCCGCACACAATCTAAAGTTCACAAGAACTCTAGATTAACACTTATTTTCACGTTTTCAAAAGAAACGAAAAAGTTTTAGATTTGTAACAAAGTCTATTCACCCCCTCTCTAGACTTTGTATCTCACCACTTAGGAACCACCACTTATTGTATTTCAAAAAAAAAACACAGACAGATAAGATTATACCAAATCAGGTCTAGACTTTGTATCTCACCACTTAGGAACCACCACTTATTGTATTTCAAAAAAAACACAGACAGATAAGATTATACCAAATCAGGTAACTACATCTCAGTTTAACATGTTTATATGTTGTTTAGATGATATCTAATCAAATCATATCTCATCAAATTAGATTAAATCAAATCAAATTAAAAGAGTTTTAAATATAACTGCAATTAGATCAAGTAGATTAGATCTATTCCAATTAGATCAGTCAAGATTAGATCTAATCAGATTAGATAAGATAAGATCAAATCAAATTCAATCAGATCTTATTGCTTGCGCATATTCAATCAAATCCAATATGAAAATCTATTCACTTGTATAGATTGTGTCTTATTTGCTTGATCTAATCTTTAAACGCATTAAATCGGACCTAATTAGATCGAATTAGGCCAAAATAGATCTAATCGGATCGAATCAAATTCAAATCCAATAAGATGAGATTAAAATTTGAAGGAAATCTATTCACTTATATAGGTTGTGTCCTATTTGCCTGATCTAATCTTTAAATGTATTATATTAAATCTAATTAGATCGAATGAGACCAAAATAGATCCAATCGAATCGAATCAAATTTAAATCCAATAAGATGAGATCAAAACTTGAAGGAAATCTATTCTCTTATATAGGTTGTGTGTCCTATTTGCCTGATCTTATCTTTAAACGCATTGAATCAGACCAAATTAGATCAAATCAGAAAAAAATCTAATCGGATCAAATCAAATTCAAAACAAATAAGATCAAATCAAATCTTTTAAGAAAATCTAAACTTTTATATAGGTTGTGTCCTATTTTCCTTATGTAATCTTTAAAAGGACCAGATCGGAGCTAATTAGACCGAATTAAACCAAAACAGATCTTATCAGATCAAATAAAATTCGAACATAAAGATCTATTTACTTGTTTACGTTGTGTCCTAGTTCTTTAAAAGCATCAGATCGGACCTAATTAGATTAAATTAGACCAAAACAGATCTAATCGGATCAAATGAATTTTGAATCTAATAAGATCATATCAAACTTTCACAGGAAACCTGTTTACTTGTATAGGTTGTGTCCTAATTGCCTGATATAATCTCTAAATACATCAGATCGGACATAATCAGATCAAATCGGACAAAAACAGATCTAATTGGATCAAATCAAACTCATGTCTAATAAGACTATATCAAATCTTCAAAAAAAAAATCTATTTACTTCTCTACGCTGTGTCCTATTTGCCAAATCTAATCTTTAAATGCATTAGATCACACCTAATTGATTTGATCCGCTTAGATATGTTTTGGTCTAATTTGATCTAATTATATCAGATCTGATGAATTTAAAGATTTGATCAGCCAAATTGGAACTGTGCAAGTAAGTATTTTAGTTATCAGTACCGGTATGATGTTATACGCTCAAAAATATGGGTATCTTGTGGATATGGATCCATGTGAGTAAGAAATTCAATTAACAAAAAGATGTATCCCTAATTAAAAGTGGTACATAAGAGTGAGAAAATTTATGGACCAAAAAACATTTTTATTTCAAAAATCAAATTGATGATTCTAAAAATTTTCAAATTCATATCAAATTTTAGAATCCCTCCATATTTTTCATTGCCTGCCTAATATGTACCCCAATTTCTCAATTAGGTCTATCGCGTCCCCTTCAAAATATCTTTCTCCGATAGAAAAAGTTTGTCATCTTCTTCAAAATCGGGCGATCTTAAAGAGGCTTTGGGCGGCGCTGCAGAGGAGAGAGAAGCACCATCACCGCCTTCGACGTCGAACCCACGGCAGTCTTATATAGAGCCGTGGCGTTGGGTCAGGGCGGAGGAAGCTTCCAGACAGATTATTCAGAAGGTCTGCCAACGTCTGTCTCCGCAGAGTGGAGGCGAGCGGTCTTCGATATTGTTCAGAGGTTGCTCAGGGGAACTCTAGGACTCGAGGTTGGACTTTAATTCAATCTGTTTTCTTAGGCTCCTTCATTATTGGGGTGCTAATCTGTTCAGCATAAACATGAAATTTGGATCTTTCTGAAATGAGTCCCGTTTTGTCTGATTGCACAGAATCACATTTTGTTTGATGTATTAGATAAAAGTTTGTTTCTTGTTAACTTTGTGCTGATTTCTTTTGGACGCATTTGCTTTGAAGCTTGTAAATGCTCATTGCTGTATCCACATACACGATATCACTTTCATATGTATGCTTTTTTTCTTTTTTGTAGATTTCAAATTTGTGGTAATATTGAGCTAGTGATGTATCTTGAATGCAGCATACTTCTATCAGCTGGGTTAATGATGCAACACGATGCAGACCTTTTTGGTGGCTATTTCTCTGTGATTGTGAATGATTGGTAATCCTATTTCAGGTTATGAAGTTGGATTTCAATCCCCTTTGATTTTTTTATTCGATTCAAGGTATTTTGGGTATCGTATTTAGTGTTCACCTCGCGACTTCGGATTATGCATCTTTGCTTGGTTTTGGGCTAACTTTTGTGGATTCTTTGCTGATTATTTGAGAGGTTGTTCATGTTAACAACACTTCTTTTAATTGTGCATTCAAGTATTGAGTTGGAGGAATGAAGTGTTGTTCTCTGTGACGGACCTTCTGCCCTTCGAACTGCTGTTCATGCTGTTCTTTTTGTGGAGTGTGTGACTTATGTTTTTGGGTGTTTATGCTGTGATTTTTTTGGAAGAGCATTTGCTGCAACTTTGGTGAAATTCCTTTGGACGACCATGGTTTACTGCATTTTTCCACTGGACAGTGGAGAATGCTACTGCAAATTGGTCTTGCTGTTGCTCACCTGGATATGTTTTGAACCATGCTTTGAGTGATGAATTTACTGACCACTGGGGTTCAATCCATGAAGAATACATTGCCTGTGGTGCTGTACCCATAAACTGCATAATGGCCAGTTGTCCCCGCTACCCCCCCTAATGGTTATGGCAGAGCCTACTAGGGATGATTTGGGGTAGAGGAACTGACCAATGCTTGAAGGAAAGTGTAGAATCCGTGGCATGCTATATATTCCATGTGATTATCTTGTGATGTGAGTTTGATTTTGGATCTTGACTACTACGCGAACTGGGAGAATGTTTTGCACCACCGGGTAGGGCTGTTGCTGACCCACAAGTGGCCGTGGGCAGCATATGGATTACCTACAGTATTTTTTGGCAATGCTTGAGTTGCTGCCCAGATTTTGCAGCTGGTTTGGAGCTTCTATTTTGCATAATTCCATTGGAAAGCTTCTGTTTTGGATACGAGGGGCTGAAGATTGGAAAACCTCTGACCAAGGAGATCCTGCTGTTTTGGCCTTGGAAAACTGCCATTTCTATGTTCCTTTGTACGTTTGGGCTGGGAAATAGAGCTAGAAGTGCTTGAGCAGCTGTTTTGGACTTGGAAAGATGTTTTGGGCTGCACATGGATGAAAGGAAGTGTTACTGATTTTGTATTTTGAGCTGATTTTGTTTTGGAAATTGGAGTATGGATTTGGGCAGCGTGGGTGTTGATTCCTCCTGTTGGTCCTCGGTTTTACCTCATTCTTGGAGGTAATAACCAATTGGGTCCTGCTGGTAGGCCGTCCTTTGTCTCTTCTTGACCCTTTCGGTTGGGGTATTTGGAAGAACTTGGGTTATCTCGGCCAACAAGTGGAGCTTGTAGCTGACTGGTTTGCCATCTTCTTTTTGCTTTTTTTTCTTTTATGAGTGAGATTGATTGATTGTATGAGTTCCTAATTCCTTTTGTGTGTAGCGGGACATTACACAGCCTGTCCATGTACTTTTTATTTTCTTTTAATAAAAGTGTTTATTTTTTTAAATGATACGTAGTAATTGTTTTAAACATCAGTTATTTGATTGTTGTCTAAAGTTTCGCCCAAAACTATGAAAGTGACGCTAGATAGCGTACACATATTCATTGTAGTGAAGGTTATCGTGTCTTTGAACTTTAAAAAAGTTTGAGACTTAATAGCTAAACTACTGTTTAAAGAGAGTATTCTTAACTTATTATAAACAACTCTAGCAAAACAATCATATGACACAAACAATTAGTAATAGATTACTATATCTCATAATTTGAAAAATAGTTCTATGCTTACTATCCACACTACTCTTTAAAAGAGTTTTCTTAACTTATTCTAGATAATTGTGAAAAAAACCCGTGTGACACAGACTACTAGTAATACATTACTGTTTCTCATAACTTTAAAAAAAGTTCTAGGCTTTATAGCGTGACTATTGTTTAAAATTAGTATTCTTAATTTATTATAGACAACTGTGGCAACAAAAACCACATTTTGATGTGACACAGACAACTACTAATAGATTACCGTTTCTATGATCTTTAAAAACAGTTGTTGGCTAAGTATCTAGACTATTGTTAAGAAAGAGTATTGTATTCTTATTATAAACAATAGTGCCAAAAATTCTACATGACACAGACAACTAGCAATAGATTATTATTTCTCATTACTTTAAAAACAATTCTAGACTGAATAACTAGACTACTATTGAAAAAGAGTATTCTTAACTTATTAATGACAACCGTGATAACAAAAACTGTACTTTGATATGACGCAAACAACAGACATTAAAATACTGTTTCTCAAAACATTAAAAATAGTTTTAAGCATAATAGCTAGATTACTACTTTTGTAGCCAACAACAAACAGTAGTCTGATTTTTTTAACTACTGTTTTTCCATTAACAGTAGTTAATGAACAGTCGTCTGACACTGTTTTTGGCGTAGTGTTATTGATATCACGGTTGAGAATGCATATCTTAAGATAACGATGTAACCATATGAACGAGACGCAGTCATGATGTCAATTATGGACCTTAGAAGAATTTCGAGGACGAAATTCCTTTAAGGGGGGAGAAATGTAACGCCCCAAAACATACCCTAGAATTATTAATAAATAAATATTCGATTAATCAAATTTTTTTTGATTAAAATAAATTGTTGTTGGGTTTTGAGTCGATACAGAATGTGTTTTAATATCCATTATCACAATCTGGATAAATCTCATAGAGATAAATTCAATATGTTGACTATTTGTGTGGTCTTGATTAGGAACCTGTGTACAGACCCAAAATCAAGAATAAATGAAGAAATTATTTATGAAGTGAACTTTAAAATAATTTATTGAAATTAATCATGAGAATAAGTAATATGAATTAAATGAGAGAACTTTTTTGAATAAAAGTCAACAAATCAATTTTGACTCTGTCAAAGTCAAACACACAAAATATGGTGTCAGAAAAAGTATTACAAATAAATATAAAAATTATATCGTTGGATAGAGTTTAACTGTCCGATCGCAACGGTGCAAACGGATTTCAATTCGGAGAAAGTTGGACCAAAAAGTGTACCCTGACTGGAATCAAAATTGGTCCCAATCAGGGAATTGCGTATCAAATTTTGGAGATCGCCGCTGAATCCACTCAACCGATCGTGAGTCACAAATGACTAAAAAACAATTGGCTACTTCCTTCTCCAAATGCTATAAATGGGTACCCTCACTTCTCTCAAATCTGCACTAAACTTCGTGAAACTAGTACCATAAGAATCTTGAGAGTGAAGGGAGTAATGTGATACTATTAATTACCGTCGAGGTCGCCAGAGCAAGCCATGGTGTTCCCCGGAAGTTTCGCCGTCCAATAGCCGGAATCATCTTTTAGCTCTCAGGTAAGCCCGTAGATATATTTAGTGATTAGAATGTTTGTATAGATCATTTCTACGTTCATAAACGGGTATTTGGTTGAGTTTTGTGTTTGACATTATTGAGGAACCAAGAATCATAAACCTTGAATGTGTTGTTAAAACTTCGAATTGATGCCTCTAAAATGATTTACGAACCTTGGAGAACATTTCTATATAGTTTAATTGGAGTTTTGCAACCTAAAATGAAGCTTGAGGAAAATGGCCGAAGGAAGAAGATGATGAATAGTAAATTTTGTGTTGATACGGGACCTTGGTACCGTGACTAGGTACCGTTACCAGGTACCGTAAGAAGAAGAAAATTTTCAAAACGGTACGGTCGACCGTTCGGACCCAACGGTTGATCGTTACGAACATTTTTCAGTCCAGAAATGCTATTTTTTACGCTATAAAATCTTATTTTTGATACCAATCAAGTTTGAATAATGTAAAGATTATTTTTTCACCATGAAAATGATGTTTTTAACAAATAAAATGTTATGTGATGCATGACGGTAAGTTAGGGTGTTAACACTCGACGCTAGGTCGCTATTTGTTAATAAATGTTACGATGATTATTATGACCAAACCTTGGTAATATTCTGAATAAATGATTGTTATAATGGATAAAACATAATGGAACATCATTGATAATAAATATTGGTTATGACGATCAAATGGACGACCCAAGCGAATATGACTACATAACGATAATGATTTTATTTTGATAAAATAATAAAGTATGGAAATGAACGGATGAACCGTAAGGATGAAATCGTGGATAGATATGTTTGTTTGACTGTCTTGAATTAAATGATGACTATGAATTAATGAGTTATGATTCAAAATGAATAAGTAGATAAACAAGTAAGGAAAATGATGTGTATTGTTAAGGCTATCTAGAAGATCTCTAGAATTGATCTTGTATTAGAATAGACTCATGAATATTTGATGAGTTAGATAAAAACGCATAAACGGAATTCGTAGACCAAATTAGAGGATCACTCGTTTGGGAATGCCCTGATCCGATGTTGCTCAATCGCTATATTATTGTTGCCTTAACTGACTAGAGTTAAGAGTCCGAAATCAATTGCCTTAAACTAATGAAAGTTTAAGTGTCTGCTTATTTATTTCCTTTTTAAGAGTCTGGTTATTGGCCTTAAACAAGCCATAGTTTAAGAGTCTGGTTATGAAAATTATGATCTGGCCTTAGACTAAGAATAACTAAGAGGGTTGTTATTATTTGGCCTTAGACTAAGAATTGCTAAGAGTGTTGTTATTATTTGGCCTTAGATTAAGAATAATTTAAGAGCACTATAAAAATAATAACTGAATTGAATAAAATATGTTGATATGAACTGAATAATATCAAAATTGTGAATGTCTGAAATGAACATTATGTGCATGATATCAAATGATTTGATTATGAATTTAGACTCAGTTTATATGGATGTTCGACGCATTAGATATGCTTACTCAGCTTTACCACTGAGCGTATAGTGTATTTTATTTGCTACACGCAGGTAAACAGAAAGAACAATGTGATCCTGGTGGCAGATGGGTCGAGATTGTCGGGATGGATGTGACAAGTTTTGAAATGAATTATGTTATGTCATTATTAAATTCGCTTCCGCAATATTGTTGAATACTCCGTACTGAATATGTTACGAAAAATATTATTGTGATAAATAAAAGTGTTTGAAAAGTTTTAAATTTTTACAATTACCAAGTTAGATACTTTAGTCCAAAAGTGGCTGCAGATTTGGACAGATTATGGTGTTACAATTTGGTATCAGAGCAAATGGTTTTAAAACTGATCTTCGGATCAAAATTTGTATATAAACAAATCATCAGTCACATCCGCGACTCTCGCGTCTCTCTGCTCCAAGAAAGGTATGAAAATCTACTTGGTAAATATTGACTCTATTAGAATTCTCATTAGATAACAGTCGATTAGTACTGAAATCGTATGGAGTGTAGACTCTAGTTGAACTTTCGTACTCAGAGTAGAGACGATGGAATAAATGAAAAATATCTGAGTTCTTGAAACGTTATCAACGTACGCATCACATCACGAATGACAAAAATTGATTTGTACCGTAAAGTCGCGTGGAAGTAAGACAACCCTAAAGAAACGATTAATGTTGATTTTACAAACAACACCTGTGAATCCAGTGCTGAAGATCCTCATTTGGACTCAACATAACCTGATCGCCGATTCAAACACGAGTATTTAGAATCAGTCAAACTCTATTATCTAGAGTATCCCATTCTGATGTCTGATTCATTACAACACAATATGCGATTATACTGTGTGAATCGAAATCATTCGTTAATCGACAATTCCTTACGAAACCTCGTTGAGATACCCTACAAGGAAATTGACAGTATCCTTAATATGAATTGACTGAACGTTGTTGCTACTGACAACTTGTGATGAAGAATTCCTCAACTGAAGACCAATGATGTTAACCTCATATAGGTAAAAGCAAAGTTGATTATTAAACCGACCGAGTTCATCTCGATTAAGTACGCAAATGAAGATGGATCAATGGGACTCTGTACCAACTACTAAAAATCGTTATCCTTTACCTCGTATCAATGACTTATTTGATCAGCTTAGAGGATCCATTGTCTTCTCTAAGAATTGACATACGGTCAAGATACTATAAAATCCCTATTAAGAAACTGGAACGAACTGACAATCAAGAATCGTTATCCTTTACTACAAACTGACAACTTGTTTGGTCAAAGAATCTACGTATTAAAAACGATGACAACTCAATCTTGTAGAAAGAAGTCACACCTTGTTATGAAATGCCTAGTGACTTAATTGATTTCCATCGAAAACATCGATGTAGTCTGATTGAATAAATGAAATAAAGTGATACTTATTATCAACTCGCCTATTTAATCCTAATGAAGGAATTTCTCTTATTGTAGTATGAGTCAAGAAACCAATCACGGTCAAAGTAACCAAGTGCCAAACAAAGAACACGAGAATGTTCATACCGAAGCATCCAGTTACACACCTCTTATTTAGAATGAACTAGTGGACCCATAAAATATTCCCCAAATGATCAAAATGTTGGAGGTCAACCTGATGCTATGCTACC